GTAATTTCCAAAAGTTTCTGCTTTGCTCTCCTTTCAGAGTCACGAGCTTCTTGCAGATCTTGCTTGAGCTGGTCAGCCTCCTTTGCCCTGCAGGCAGTTGACAAAAGAAGAATCAAAAGTCAGACCCAGACCAGCACTTTTCCTCCCCAAAATGACAGCATGTGGCAATGCCTCATCTCTCTGAAGGCTAAGCGATGTCATGTCCTATCAATATCATAAAGCAAAACCAGTGAAGGGAAGGAGACGGGACCTGGGTTGTTATCTGTGGCAGTTGATCCTCTAAAATAACTTAGATAACTCTTCGAAAAGAGACTGCAGAGAACCACCAAATCAAATCCCCCCAAACAGTTGCCTTTGGGGAGCAGAACCCTCTCTATTCTAAAACAGGGTGTGTAACTTCTCCCAGACCTCCACTGACAGCCTCCAGAGCTCTCCGAGGACAGACTACAGAGTAATTTTTCACTTTCTGAAAACCAAACCAAGCCTAAAATAAGCGTGTAAACCCACTGCAAAAATGAGTCAACTTCTCAGCTTCTTCCCTGCCAGTGACATTTCACTGCTGCCACGCCTCCTGAGGCCGGCAAAGCGTTTTTTTATTTGCTTGTTTGTCTTATTTTATTTTAAAGTAGCAAAACGTTAGCCTGGCCTTGGCTTAGACATTTAATGACATTTATTATCATGCTATTTGTTTCCGTTTTTGCAGGCAGCACGCATGTGCAAAAGAATTTTAAACAACTCCCATCTGAGAGAGCCTTCCCAACTTCCCATGCAGAAAACAGTAGAGTTGGGAAGGACAGAGAGGAAAAGTCAGCTAGCCAGCCATTCCAGCTAGCCACGTCTGGCACAGAGGCAGCCAATCAGCAAGGGGCAGAAATGACAGATTAGAAGGAATTTACAGACACAAAAGGTCCAAATCTGTGCCCAAATGAATGCAATCCATGGAAAAAAATATTTCACAACAGCCTTCCTGCTCCTGGAGGATCACAATAGGCAACAGAAAACAGAACTATTGCGATTAGTGGGTAGGGAGATCTGGAGTGACGCACAAGGTGAAGAATAATGAATTCAGTTTCATGTCTGGATGCAACTCCACCCTCTCCATAATTAAAGGTTGGCAGGCTTCAACTGGCAGGCAGCATTGGAACCAACTAAGAACTTTTAATCAGTGGTTTTTACTGAAGGAAAGTTAGGAAGCCATAATGAAAGAATTCAAATGACTGTTTTACTGTTGCCCTATTTTTCTGAATCAGTATTCAGGCCCCTTTTGCACTTCCTTCTCGTGCCCACCCTATACAATGGGCTGCCTGACCCTCTCTTGGGGACCTCCATTGCTCCCTTGTTTTGGCAACCCTCAGTTCCGCCAACGCTGTCGTCTTCTTTGACTGGAGTATTTGGGAGACTTGAATATGAATTTCTTGACAGCCAAAGAAATCAATTAGTACCCAAGTCATAAAGGCTCATCTGGTTGGCACAGCTTGGTATCTGAGCATTCCACCAAGTATAAACACGTGCGTTGTGTTTCCCTGTGTATTAGCAATTTAGAAAGCTTATCTCTTTCTTCTTTTTTGCCAACTGTCTAGAGCTATAACGGTGGGTTGTAGCTCTGTGTAGCACCTTAGTGTGTTCAAAGCATTCCATTAATCTCTACCATCTCCAGACTGGGAGTTCCAGTTCCAGACATCTATAGGGCACCAGACTGACTGAGCCTGGCTTAGTTCATTTTAAGGGAAAGTGAAAAGTACCCAATTTTATATTCCTTTTCTTTTTAAATGAAAAAACCAAAAACATGTTTACTCTTACATCACCTCCCTGCTTTCATTAGATGAGGACTTCCAAGTTCTTCTGCTACTTACTTTAAAAGGGATGTATGCTCAACTGATGCCAGAAGCAAACCCAAATGAGTGATGATTGGTAATTTAAAAGGAAGACCCCACACCCCAGTGTCAGTTTGTGCTTTTATTTATTTATATAGTATTCTCTAAGGAAACAGAAGCAGGTAATCTTTTGCATGGAGGGGGCTCTAATTCCTGGCCCTTGTTTGGCAGGGATGCAGGAAATGTAGTCAGTGATTGCTGGCCATCCCTGGAGTGAACCAGACCAAAGTGAGTATTCCTAAATAAGAAGCCACATGGGCATATCAGAGAAGCTGAAGCCAGTAAGTGGATCCAGTTCTTCCCATGGTACCACCTTCGTTCAGACTCCTCCGCCATTTTCAGGGCCAGCATCTCAGCCTCCAACACTTTTTGCTCCATCAACCGCTTCTCTTCCTCGGTCCGAATTGCTGTAGCCTTGATCCGTTGCATTTCCTGCTCTGCCTCTGCTGCCTTCTGAGCCAGGAGCTTGGCTTCCTCTTCTGTGATCTGAGCTTTTTCAGCCAGCAAGTCTGCAGTTTCTTCAGATCTCATCTGGGCAAGAAGGATGGAGGATTAGACACATGAAGTCTGACACGGTAATAGAACTTTGGATGAATTCCAAAACCGTGGAGCTGGAATGAATCCTAAAACTTGAGAATGTAGCTAAGGGACTGATAGTATATTAGACAGACTCTAAGAGTGAGAAATGATAAAACTAGAATAAATGCACTGGCTGTTAAACCAGTCAAGTGTCAATATACTAGGTCCTTTTCCAAACAAAATACCTTGAGAAATAGGAAACTAAGCATCACATGAATGAATGAATACGCTAATAATAAAAAGCTATACAATACTGGATGCAACAGATGGAAAATGTAAACACGCAGATGTGAGGGTTATATCTGAAACAACCAAGATGTCAAGACCAGCCAAGTTACTTTATTCATCCACTAGTGCAGATGACAGCTTCCACTGATTTTTGGATTTTTAGTAAAAAGTATCTACTGATAGTTTCTGCTATTTGGATAGTGAGGGATATTTTGTCCATGGGAACTAGTCTAGACTGACTCTAGTCTAAAAAGTCAGGGAAGCAAACTAATCCAGATAAATACATGACCCAAGACACTCAAGACATGACAGCTGGTTCTTGGTTGGGACCTCTTCAATTAGAGCCACAGAACAGGAAGGCCTAGCATGTCCTGCTGGATCAGACACGGGCCCACTTAGCATTCCATCTCACTCAGTGGCCCACCAAATGCATCTAGGAAGCCCACAAACAGGAGATCAAGGCAACCCTTCTTTCTCATCATTGTTCCCATGCACTTCATATGGAGAGGTGGACTTCCCCCTGTGCCTGGAGGTAGCATCCAGTCACCAAGCCTAGTAGCCTTTGGTAGACCTGTCTTCTAGGACACAACCACAAACGACCAACGAGACCAAATCCATCTTTAGCCTCTACTCTTGGTTAAAAAAACAAAGCAAAGCAAAAACCTTGACCCTCTGTTTAAACCAGACAGCATCACACAATCTGCATAGGAGAAATACAATTTGCACAGCATGAGCCCACCTCATTGACCTACACCTCATTGCTGAAATACTTCTGCTAGCATGTTTAAATAAAACAATGGACTCATGAACGCCTAGCTTGACATAGTTTGGCTTCTATCAAACTAGGATCTAAATGGACTTGTGGCTACTGTGATGAGCCTAAAAAGGGCAATATACATCCTCCACTAACCATCCTTGATAAAACATCCCTTCTCCAGAGAGACTCTTGAGTTCTTTGCAGATAGACTGTACCCGTAGCAGCATTTGAAGGGACCTACCAGAGCTTCATTTGCCATCGTTGCCTCTTCTTTTAACTGCAAAAGTCTTCTCTCCAACTCATCCCTCGTGCGTTCGGCCTCTTCTCTCATCTGTTTCTCTCGGGCTAAACGCTGGCGCTCCATCTAGAAAGTGGAAAGAAGGAGCAATGGGGGGAAAGAAGTATTAAGAATAGCTAATACATGCAGATCATATGTATTCAGCAAAGAAAAGAAATTCAATTTACTAAGCCTATGGAAGTGATACAATTCATATATTTGTCTGACACAATCAGTTCTGCTTCCATAATCCAGATTTAGAATTTTTTAAGTTTCATTTAGGAGTTCTGTTAATGAATTTTTGACGTAAAGCATGACATTTTCTGCCTGAATGAAGTAACCCTGAATACCTTAAACCTTTCACAAAATTTGCTTATGAATACATGCAGATCATATGTATTCAGCAAAGAAAAGAAATTCAATTTACTAAGCCTATGGAAGTGATACAATTCATATATTTGTCTGACACAATCAGTTCTGCTTCCATAATCCAGATTTAGAATTTTTTAAGTTTCATTTAGGAGTTCTGTTAATGAATTTTTGACGTAAAGCATGACATTTTCTGCCTGAATGAAGTAACCCTGAATACCTTAAACCTTTCACAAAATTTGCTTATGTTCCAACTTCTCATTCAGCTTTCCAGAGATACTATCAACTTCCTCCTAGTTAAGCTAGAGCAGAGTTTCTCAACCAGGGTTCCATGGAACTCTAGGGTTCCATGAGAGGTCACTAGGGGTTCTGTGGGAGATCATGACTTATTTAAAAAATTATTTCAAATTCAGGCAACGTGCTCCCGCAGTGATGAGCAGAAACCAAACAAAAATCTAGTTACAACTCCTTCTGAACTCTCTGGTAGCACGCTGTAAGACTGTGTTTATTTAGTTGAATCCATTCTTAATTTTTGACGTGTGATAGGGGAGACCATTGATAACAGGTGAATGCTATATTGCAGGAAGGGAGGAATATATTACAGGAAAGGAGAAATATACTGAAGGAAGGAGAAGGAGAAGGAGAAGTGCATTTTTCAAGAAATTAATGGATTCGTCCAACTTAGTCTGTGACATCAGTCTCTCCCTCCCACATATTTCCCCTGCAGTTTTCCTGTAGTTATTTTATCCTATTATTTTAAATAAATTTCGTACATGTTTATTCAGTCTGTCTGAGGGTCTACTGTGGCAATTTTTGAAGAGAAGATGTGAAAGAGAAGAGGAGAATTCTAGGACGGACAATACTGATAAGTTTAGTTATGATAATGATAATGAAGAATTTAAATCTTCTCAGGCATATTTCTGCACTGGTACATCAATGGATTCAAAAAACGCCCATCTTTACAATGAAAGCTATTTATCAATGGATTTTTCATGGACTGGTGATCCAAGCTGTCCTATTCTGTTGTGCCTCATCTGTGACAAACAACTTACAAATGCAGCAATGGCTCCAGCAAAATTAAAAAGACACTTAACTACAAATCACAGCTGTATGACAAGTAAAAGTTCTGATTATTTCAAATGCCCGTTGGAATCACAGAAAAAACAAAGTAAAGCTTTTGTTAATAAAATGACAGTCAGTAAAAAAGCCCAAGAAGCAAGTTATTTAGCAGCAGAACTTACTACACAGCAAAGGGAAAATCACGCTTTGGGTGAGAAAGTAATCATGCCAGCATGTAAAATAATAGTGGGAAAAATACTAGGACCAGATGCAGTCAAGAAATTGAAAAAGCTGGTCAAACAGTACAATCAAATGGCATATTGATAACATGTCCCATGATACTGAAGAGGTTTTGTGTGATAAGCCGAAGAACAGCAGCTTTTCTATCCAAGTCAACAGACTTCACCAAAAAATGTCATGTTACGGCATTTGTAAGATTTGTAAATGATGGTGAAGTTCAAGAAAACTTTTTCTGCTGCAAAGAACTACACGAAACATGCAAAGACCAAGATGTGTTTAATGTTTTGTCTGTATATCTGGAAACAAAAAGTCTGTCTTGGAGGAACTGTGTTGGCATCTGTACTGATGGTGCTCTATCAATGCTCCATGAGAAGTTTTGTTTCTCTTGTAAGAAAAGAACATTCTGATGTTGTCACAACACCGTGCTTTGTTCACAGAGAGGTGTTGGTGTCAAACACCCTTGGAGATGAAATGAAAAAAGTTCTGGATGATGCTACAAAAACGGTTAACTTTCTTAAATGAAGACCAGTTCACTCAAGAATGTTTTAGAAACTGTGTGAAAACCTGGACAAAGAGCACATAAGTCTCCTGTTACACACAGAAATACAATGGCTCAGCTGAGGAAGAGTTCCCAACAGGTTGTTTGGGCTGAAGACAGAATTGCAAGAGTATTTTTGAGAAAACAGTATTCCACATTTTGCTGAGTGCTGTGAAGATGGAGAATGTTTGCAGAAACTAGCATACTTAGCAGACATCTTTTATCACATGAACCAGCTGAACGAGTCTCTGCAAGACACTGGAGAAAATGTTTTGACTTTACGTGACAAGATTCTTGGATTTAAAAGAAAACTGAATGTTTGGAAAAATCATGTTGCGAAAGGAAATATTCCACTGCTGCTTTGGCTTGAGAGTGAGGAAAGATACCAGAAAGTCTCAAATCTAATTGAAAGTCACCTGGAAGTACTGCAGAACAAAATTGATCAGTACTTTCCCTCCCTTTCAACACAAATGTATGACTGGGTGAGGGATCCTTTCTCTGCATTCTGCTGTTCAGCCTGAAGATTTTTAAGGAAGAGGAAGAACTTTGTCAGCTGCAATCTGACTGTACACTCAAGATGAGATTCACTGATCTGCCCATAGACAAGTTTTGAATTTCTGTGAAAGAAGAGTATCCTGCCATTCATAGGAAGGCATTGAACATTTTGCTGCAGTTTTCAACTTCTTACACGGGTGAGCAAGCTTTTTTTTAATTTAACAAGCATCAAAAGCAAAGACACGCATCGTCTTATTTCAGTTGAAGAAGAAATCTGTGTGCGCTTATCTCACGTTTGGCTCAGAATTGAGCATTTGTGCAGCAAAAAACAAGCACAGGTTTCACATTAAAGAGGTAAGTTTCATTATTTTTAGTTTAGGAACACTGTTAATGCATATACAGGTTTACATGAAACAAATGTAATAAATTTGTAACTTCTGGCTTATATTTCAGCCTGAATGTTCAGGGGTTTCCCGAGGCCTGAAAAATATTTCAAGGGTTCCTCCAGGGTCAAAAGATTGAGAAAGGCTAAGCTAGAGACATGGATCTTCTACCAGCCAGTTCTGAAAAGAAACAGTCCTTTATTAAGTACATGAACAGACACTGGATAGGGCACCAAGTTGTTCATGAAATACAAAAAGGCTCAGTGTGCCAATGTGCTAGGAAAGGACAGATAACTGTCCAAGCTTTCTTGCTTCTACATCCAAAAGCTTCTCTCCGGAAGAGCAAGACATTTTCCTCTTATTTTCTTTTTAAAGTTGAGAACTGCAGGATGTCAAATGCTGAACTTGATCCACGAAACAGTGATCTGCCTTTTCCAAATCACCAAAGGAGACCATGAGCTTGGAAGAATGAAAAGAGAAATGCAAAGAGAACTTAACAGAGCTCCTTCCGCCTTGGCAACATGGCACGGACATGTGGAGGGTTGCAAGGGACCTGCAAAGTGACAAGCAACCATCCTGTTGCCAAATTCCTTTGTTCCAAAAGCTTTGGTTCTAGTTCCTATCAACATAAACAGGCTTCCTTCTTCTTAAGACCATCTGCCAAGTTCTGGGCAACAATTTATTCTTCATGAAACCCACCTTAAGTTCAATGGAGCCCTGAAAGAATCGGTTCAGCTTGTCACAACAAATGCCTTTGCCAGCCTGGCAACTTGGCTCAACGTGAGCAATTCTCCTTCAAGTCACAGCTTAGGATGTGCCTTTGGGTCGGCTCGATTTTCACAGCAGGAGCCGAAGGGGGCCTAAATCTTCCACTCAGCACTCTGGAGGGACCTATCACTGTGCCAGATGTCTGCTGAGCTAAGCTCCAAACTCAGACCGGTTAGCATCCCCACCATAAGGAAATCCAGGATCAGTACTTTAACCTAAGACTCCTAGCATCTCTGGGCACAGTAAGACACTCAGCTGCTGCTCCTAATGCTATCCAACAGCTTACCCAGAAGTGGCAATCAATATTCTGCGTAGCACCGTACAGATTAGCTTTATGGGTTCCAGCAAAGAGGAAAGCTCTGCAAGCAGGAAACAATGATTCATACAATCCAATTTGCAGAGATGCACTCACTGGCTCCGTGCTGCAGACTGCTATGTGCTGTGTCTGCCAGATGGGATAAAGGAGGCCAAGCCCCAAATTAGCATGCAGGCAGCATGCACCCGAACATCGGCACACAGTTCATCATCGTTTAATTAGGATATAGGAATGCACGGCTCCTCCTCCTCCTATGCCCCGTGTTCCCTGTAACCAATTCCCTGCCCCCCGCCTCCAAAATCTGGAGGAGAGTAGAACTCCAGAACCAGAAGACGTATTTAGAAAGCGCTCTGTAGCGCGTGCTCATGTCGACGCACATACACTCAACATCTTCGTACCAAGAAGAGAGGAAAGGGATGCGACCAAAAGAGCAGGAAAGAGTGAAACAAGAGCTGGTCAGAGAAGAGCAAACAAGGGCGTAAAAGCACCCAAAAGTCCAAGCATTTGCCCAGTTTTTCACTGTGACCCTTTCTGTTTATTCATTGATCAAGTGGGTGGTGTTTTACTCTCTGAATCTGCAGGTGCCAAGAGGAAGTTTGGATGCGTGTCCCAAATATAATTTTGCATTCTGAGTTCAGGCTCCAGACTTCCTGATTTCTGAGAGACAAAGACAAGCACATCACAGCGTGGCACTGGGGGTGGGGGCGCATTGATGTATCACAATGTACAGTCTGCACATTCTTTAACTCAGTTCAGCCTGACAAGCGATTTGGTCCAGGTGGGGAAATGGAAAGGAAGAAAATGCACATTTGCCAGGGGTTGGCACGCTGGAGCCTTTCAAACATTACTGTAATATCTAAGGAAACAGCAACTGCCCCATGTGCGTGCACATCAGCCACTGTAAGATCCAGTGGGATCTTTTCTTGAGGATAACGGGATCTGGAAAAGATCTGTAATGGGACGATCTGAGAATGTACAAGCTCTGGACAAATCCTCTGGCTGCAGCATTTCCTCCCTGTTCAGATGGCTGGTTCCCAAGATGTCTGAATCCCAAGATTCTGGAGAGGACAGACAGTGACAGAAGTCCTCTTTATCAATGAACACAACCATCTCCTCACTGGATCGTAGGAAAGCTATTACAAAGAAAACCAGAAAGCTTCCACCATCATAACTACAGAAATAGGAGTTCTAAATGGGAATTAGTTCAGTGGCTGGAATTCTTGTAAACCCATCCCTTTTATCTCAATAAATCTTGCTACAGAGAACGCGGTGAAAATCAGGCTTGAAAAAGAATCAGTTTGGGTTTAGTCAGCTGCCAAAAAGCTTGACACAACTGGTACTGAATCCAGTAAGCTTTTAGCATCAGCTTAAGACATAGCTGTTCACTCTGCCATTTAGATAAGTGAGCGCCACTTCATCTTCGGATGTGATTCATTAACACTGTCCTGTGCTATCATTCTTAAGTTTTATGGCTTTAAGTATGTTTTTTTTATTTGTGTGAGTTTTTTTTTTTAACATATACTAAAATCTCCTCAAGTCGAGCTTTGCTCTTGGCGACTGTGGACAAGTTTATGCAGTTTTTGCAGCAGTTTTTACTGAATTATTGCTTTTCACTTACTGTACATGGCGTTTTGGTTTTGTTGAATAATCCTCCATTTGGGGATGAGTGGTTAAATGGTGAAAAGCTGACTACAGGTTGTATAAAGTAAATAAATAAATAAATGCATATATGAAATCAAAACTCACGAGGTAGAAAACCATCAAGTAGATAAATAAAGATCCAGAAGACAAATATCAGATAGACTGTGGAACACAAATGATCTGGTTCCCAAACGGATCCCAAATTAAATAGCTGTTCGCTGGTTTCTAGAATCTGGGTTGGGGAGTTTTTTTGGAAAAGCAATGCACAGCATAGCTGGCCAACCACGAAGTCTCATATTACAGGCTCCCCTTCTGATCTGGATATCAAGTCACGCAAGTGAGGTGGGCAGCTATATAAACTGAAGGAAATAAATGCATATGCTTATGTGACAAGGTATCCAAAATTAGACTGTTGACTTTTACACATACCTGCGTAATAGTCTCACCTGTTTCCTAGCTTTTTCCTCCCTGGCCTGAGCTTTCATCTGCTGGACTTCAAGGGAATCCGCCTTCCGCCTCCGCATGAACAGGTCATGGTTGCCGATGCACAGCTGAAGGATCTGTTCCAGCCAACAAGAAAGGAAGTGAGCCTGCGAAGTCCTCATTAACACCACAGCATATGTCAACAACACCTTTGCTTTGTCCGTCTCAGAGCTGGATGACCCTGGATCTGTACCAAGACTCACAAGGGCAAACGGGTAGAGCATATGTAGGGCAGAAGAGCTCTTATGATCGGCCCTTTAACGGGGCTGGAGACAACTGAATCAAACTTAGTTCAGCACCATAATATTGGAGAAGAGGGAAATCCAGAATACAACATTCTGGAAACAGGGTGTGCCAGGGAATGCTGGAAGAGTGTTTTTGTCCCAGACGATGTCTCTTGGGTCATTCTGAGATGGTCCAAAGGCTTTCCAGAAGTAAATACTTCTTTAGTAATTGCTTGATATAGGTTTTATGTAATTGAATTCTTATTTATTGTTTTAATGAGTTGTAAGCTCCCAGGGAGATGGGCGAGGTTAAATTTAATAAATAAACAAACAAATAAATAAAAAATACAGGATATTCCTGTGTTCCCTGCAACACTCTGTTACCAGAATGGTATGATTTGGAGACACCTAATGGGTAATTAAGTGGTGAGGTTCAGCCTCGTCTTAGGAACCTCTGCATATGAGTGACTAGAAATGAGACTGAAGTCTTTTTCAGATAGGTGTGTATCCCAATTCAAGTTGGACAGAAGTTGGGATTTTTTGCACGCAACATGTGTGCTCAAGGTTCAGGTCCATCTTTCCACCTGGAGGGGGAAGAAATCATCAATTCTTGGAGATCTTCTCAACATTCAGACATATTTAAAGAACATTTTTGAGACCCAACCCTTCCTTTTCCCAGACCTAAACCTAGGTTCTTTTGCCAGGATTTTGCAGGTACCCCATTTCAGTCTAAATTTAGAATTCATAGGCAGCTAAGGAGCCCTGCTGAATTCCCAAAGTTGGTTCCTGTTGGCATAAGGAGGGCAGACGGAGCAATTAAGGTTGTGTTCTGAATTACCCTCCAGCTCCTGCCACGGTGATTCAAACTGCACAGGAAAAAAGGCACAATTAGCAATCTCTACTGAGATGGGTCAACACCTTCTGTAAAGTCTTCAATCCATCAATAGGGGAGGCGCTGCAAAAACTTTAGCTAAAAAGGCACAGGCTCAAAAAAGGTCCATCAATGGAACTCTTTAATGATGCTAACTAGATGCAGCCAGAAGCCAGGAGTGGGGGAAATAAAGCAGCCATTGTTAGAAATCTTTCAGCAAAAAGCATGTTGTTTTCCCTGCTCTCCAAGAGACCAATTTCTGAGAGGATTCTCAAACAAAGCTGTGCTGCTAAAGCGACACTGGATTATTCCCTGTCAAGCTGGCCTTTCACTCAAGATTCAGAGCCACTTACGAATATCCAAACAGACCATGCCCTGTCCTCTCTCAAATCCGCCAGAAAAATAATATTCCTCACCAGGAAGGTATATGACCAGAGGCAATCATGGTGCTTGCTCCTGCTTCTTATTAGGGTAATTGCCAATGCCCTTTCATCCTGTCTCTTTATAAAGGGACTGTAGAAAGCCAGGTGTCTGATGGAGAGGCTTACAGGTTTCATTGAAAGCCAGGAGGAAAACAATGTATGGGCAAGACAATGAGAATTCATACCGGGACACGGGGTGGGGCGGGCACGAAAAAGGAACTGTGGCTGCCTTGGTCTGCAAGAAACAGGGTTCCAAAACGCACAGCGAGGTGATACCTTTCTTTGGGACAAGAGTCCATGCAAAGCAATCGGTGGAATTATATAAGCTTGGGCTTCATTCCAACTTGGAATGTAGAACAAATCCCACCGCTGGGCCCATATCGCACAGTCTTGGCCGTGGCTCGCCAGATCAGCAGCACACCTCTGGGTCCTGCCAGAAGTTTAACTACTGGTATCTGCAGCCTGCAAGCACGTCCCAGTGCAGAAACTGGACATGAGTATCTTGGAAAAACCCTCTCTCTGTTCAGGAACGATTGCTACCACGTCACAGGGCCTTGGTACCTACCAGCTTATTCACACGCAGCTTGGAGGAGTTGAATTTGAAGACATCAATCTTTTTGTCCAGAGGCTTTATTGTAAACTGCATGGAAAGCAAGAGCAACCATGTGCGTATTTTTTTTAAAGATACAAGAGAAAGACGAGCTACTTAATGATTAGCCCAAGGCATAAGGGTTAGATAGGAGGATGGAAACCAGCTTTATCACAAGTTAAATCATTGGCTCTTCTGGCTGAGAATTTCCTACTGGAACCAGATTTCCTGGACTTCAAGCAGGAGGCATTCCCACTCCAGGATATCGGGCACTGATCCAGAAACCCCCAGCCTTAATTTCCTTTATTTTTCTTCCCCCCGGCTACGCTGCTAAAATTCAGCAACCCAAATGCTGAAAATCAGGGTGACGCCAGTTCCTGCCATGCTGATGCTGGAAACAAACAGAAATGGAAGCAAAGGCCCTACAATGGGATTCATTTAACTGAAGGAGCCCACAACAATGAAAAAAAAATCCTTACATCATTATCACACACACAGAGACACACGCATGAAAAACCCCTGTCCCAGAGAGCAGCCCCTGACAACTGCTCGCCCAAAGATTTCGCCGGGAGAAAAGAAAACGCTCTGCTTGTCAGTGCCTAGAGAAAGGATCAGCATGGTTCATCTTACAGAAAAAAAGAGCGATGTCTGCTTTGTCAGTTAGCTGGCAGTCGAGAATGAAACGGCATGAAATGCTGCCTTCAATTCTGGCTCCCGCTAAAAAAAAAATCCACCTCTTGAATTTTCTGCCAACAATGGGCAAAGAAAGGACACTTCAGTTCCAGGCAAACATTTAGTAATTACTATACTAGATTAAACACCTCCAATGTGTCAAGTGGCCGTTCTTAAGGCTGCATCCTATCACGTCAGATCTGCCTTGTGGTCATCGCGTTGCAAGCATTATTGTCACGATAAAGGTGACAGCACCTTCTCTTGAAAGATGGGTCTATTAAGAGCTGAGGGGAAGATCTTCAGCTTTCTGTTCCTTCAGAAAAGCAGTGTTGGGGTTCTGACATGAAGAAGAGCCAGGTCTGATCTGCAAAAACTACTGCAAGGCAGGTGGGAACTGTTACAGAGTGATGCAAATGTCTCTTTAAAAGAAAAATCACAAGCTAGATGCTTAAGCATTCAGCAATAAAATATTCCAAAGCGGGACTGTTTCACTAGCACTAGGTAGCACTTATCTATCAGTCTGCTTTACCCTTTTCCCATTGCTAGCAAAACAAGAGCTCATTCGTTCCTCCTGCAAATTAGTATTTCTACCTGCCTTAAAAAGGTTGTCAATACTCTCCAGTCCATGAAAGCTTCTATTCACATTCAAAACTTGATGCCTCTGGATTTTAAGAAATGCAGCGTTCAGAAATTTCACTTAACTGCTGGAGAGGCAGGACCCCAGTTGTGTCATTATACATAAACACAGTAGAAAGGACAATTAGAAGCCAGAGGAGAGATCTGGAAGGTGAGGTCAACTTAATTTAAACACAGCCAGGAAATTTTCAGTTCAAAATGGTAAACTAAAGGCTTATTTAAATACAGAGAGAGAAAAATTCATACCAATCCAAAATCAAGAATACCTCCAGGGCAGAGAGCTTCTGTTCTTTTTTCATACGGGTTTAAGTTCTAAATTAACTGTTTCACACAGGACATCCTCCGCAGGGGGATTTCAACCAACCCAGCACAGCTGTTGTGGAGAATTCTAAGAGCTGAAATCCATCTATCACGTATTATCTCAAGGGCAACGACACCAGAGGAGGATTTCCAATAAACTTTAACCAGGCAGGTGTACCAAGTGCGACCCTAAGCTATTGCTGCTTCCTCAATGTTTGTATACCTCAGGCCTACCTCCTTATCACTGTAAGAGACATTGCGAATCTCGTTCCAAGGAAAGGAGATTTTGGGGGTCAGCCTGTTTTCTGGATCATATATGTGGAGGCCCAGAGCATCTACTCCTAGAAGGAGCTCGGTCCCCTTCTTGTTCTAAAAGAAGAAAGAAAGGGGGCGGGATGCGGAGAGTTCGTTCCATTTGACGCCGTGCAGCAAATCAGGCACACGGATTCCACCTTATTTTCTCCCACCTTGGCCCAGAGGTTCTGCTGCATTAACCTGGTTAAGAGGGGGAGGGGGAGGGGGAGGGGGAGCTTTCCAACTCAGTGTGAACTGCAGTGCCAGTGACTCATTTGTTCCCCTTCAGAAACCTCTCAATGGCCCCTTCCGGCTTGCAGGTGAAGCTACAACGAAAGACTGCCAGAAGAGCCACAGAGCCGTACAGAACTCTTCTCGGCAAAGGGGACCAGGTTTCAGCCGCTCAGCCAGAGGACTGGATGCTTCCCCGTAAGTGCCCCCCAAAACTACCCGAACCGCAAAGTAATCCACACCGTACGTCTCTAGATGTACCTACCCGAATTGCAAAGTAATTCACACCGTACATCTCTAGGTCCTGGGCTATTTTCAAGTACTCCATTTCGGCTTCATCCCTGCAAAGGGAAAAGGGTGCATGGGTGAGAAGGAAGTTTAGTGTGGCAAATTTTACCAAAATAGGGGAAAGCATCTGGAAGGCGTCAAAGAACACAAATCAAACCCACTTGTAGGCGTATCAGATCCCATAATCTTCTGAGATTGAGACTTCTATTTTCCAGCCAAGGTGACAAAGCTTTGTAGCAAAGTCCATGCTGCAGGTTCATTGCAGCCCTAATGTCTAAAACTAAAATGGCTCATCCCCACCCCAAATAGTTTCCCATCTCCATCATCCTTAATTCCAATCCCAATCCATGGAAGATTATCCTTAGAGGGATCAGGGACAGACAGGGGAAGAACCCAAATAGGGTGGATTAAGAGGATCTGGAAAACTGCACATTTTAATCCCCAGTACAAGAAATTATTTATCGCAGAGCCAACTTCCTCAGTCAGGAACCCACTATATCCAGCTAGGATTTGTAGTCCCAAACTGCCTAGGGGACAGACTTTGCGGCCATGTATCCTAGATATTCCCAAACCCACAACATCCTTGCAAAGATCCCCTCCTAGTTCAGTCATACAACTGATTTGGACATTCTTGGTTTTATATTTTGGTTACCATTCTAAATGCAAGTCATGGGCTGTCAGCTGCATACAGTATTGATACTAACACTAAGAAAGTCTGTTTTTGACTCATCCCTCAAATTTATAGTCCTTATTGTTACCAATATGGTTGCCTTGTCTGTCACAGCACCTGCCCTTTGGAAAACCACCCCCAAAAGATACATCTGGCCCCCACCCTGGCCATGTTCAAAAGAACACTGAAAACCTGGCTCTTTCGAATGGCTGTCTTTTAATTGTCGCTTTTCTTCTGGCATTGGGGTGTTTCTTTTGTTTTCCCATTTTAACTGTACTGTATGATTGTTTTTACTGTACACCACCCAGAGTCACTGTAGAGTTAGGCAGCCTTATACAGTGGAACCTCGGGTTACGAACGCTTCTGTTAACAAACTTTTCGGGTTACGACCAGCTCCAGCCGCAAAATTTTGCTTCGGTTTGCGAACTCCGCCTCGGGGTACGAACAGGATACACAGCCATTTTCCCTGCCGTGATACGGTCCGCGGCCATTTTTCCGCCCGACACGTGGTCCATGGCCATTTTCCGCCCCTGACACGTGGTCCGCGACCATTTTCCGCCCCTGACAC